CACTTAGTATTGGCAGAGGCAGGATTCAAACCCAGGTCTTCCCTGACTCCTAAGCCCACACCCTTTCCATGAGGCAGCACCACTGCTGTTCCTCTATTCCCTAGCTGTGTTTTGGCCCATGGGCCATTCGCTTACTGGAGTCACAACATGACATGGGAGGTCTCCAGAGACTGAGGCACATGGCCCCCATCTCTGCAGCGTGTCCATCAGTTCTGAGAAGATGCCTGCATTACCTCACTGTTATCAAGGCTGGTGTCACAGAGGACAGTGATGTAGACAAGGTACTTTAGAGCTCAGAGGGGGAGAAAGGGATTCCACAGAGGAGGGGGAATCAAAGGCAAAACTTATCCCAGGAGGTAGTTTTATTGCTGAGCTTTGGAAAATAGCTGAGATTTTTGCAGACAGAAATAGTGAAGAAAACGTTTCTAGAGGGTAGACATGGCCATGGTAAAGGCAGATGATGGATTTGGGGACTGCGCATTCTTTGTGACTAGAACCAAAGGGTGGGTGTGGAACCCAGGGGGTTTATAGGGGAAGGTATGTCTGAAAGGTTGCTTTGGAGCCACTGAAGACCTTGAGTAACAGAGTGAGTTTACCTTTTGTCTTGAGGCACTAGGGAGCCAGTGAGTGTTTGCAAGCCCAGAACTGCTTTAAAAGGAGGTTGCTCTCTGTACAGTGGACAGGAAGGAAATGGACCCTGAAGGAACACATTTATTTGACCTGAACAAACATTTTCTAATTCTAAGTACCTTTTCTATGCAAGGTATTGTAGTGAGTTTAGGGGCAGACAAGAAATCCTAAGGGTTGTGAAGCCACCAAGGAGAAGTTAGTTCTCTGCAGGTGGAATCAGGGGAAACTTTGTGGAGGAGCCAGCATTCAGATGGAAGCAGAAGGGCAGTAATTCCAGCCCCAGACGTGGAAAGTGGAAGGGAGAAGGAATGAGCCCCAGCCCTTGCCAGCCCAGCTGGAGGCTTTTCTGGCAGGAAAGGAAGATTTGTGGGTCAACAGACCTGCTTTTTTTTTTCCTTAAGAGACAGAGTCTCATTTTGTCGCCCTCAGTAGAGTGCCGTGGCGTCACAGCTCATAGCAACCTCCAGCTCTTGGGCTTAGGTGATCTCTTGCCTCATCCTCCCGAGTAGCTGGGACCACAGGTGCCTGCTACAACACCCCGCTGGTTTTTGTTGCAGTTTGGCCAGGGCTGAGTTTGAACCCACCATCCTCAATATATGGAGTCGGCGTCACACAGGTGCTGCCCAACAGACCAACAGACCTATTTAGCTTTGAGACCCTGGAGTTCTTCCTGACCCTCCCTCTGGACCTCCGTTCTCACCCATTACTCACATGGCAGGGTTATTTGGGTGATTAGATGCCATCGTCTAGTTGATAGTGACTATACCTCAGGACTGCTTGGTATGAAATCTGTGACAAAGCAGAAGGGATCACCAGCTGCAGAGGCCAATCCAGATGGGAGAACCAGGCAGGGCAACCTCCCTGAAGACAGGGGCGCTTGACCTGGGTCTTAAACGATGAGTCCTGTTACTGGACCAGATGTGTGGGGAGAGGGATTTGGGGTGAGCCAAAAGGTGACTGCTGGCTGAGCCCTAGAGTACATTAAACAGACCACCTCTCCCAACTCTACCAGGGCTCTGGAACTGTCATCAGAACCAGTCAGAAGGGCTCTTTGGACCTCATCCCACCCAGCTTAGTCTCACTTCTCTCCAGCAGGGTTCTGACTTCCATTTTTAATTGCCTATAGGTGGAATTAATTAGGTCCTGTCATTCTAATGACTCACGGGGGTAGCATATTTTTTTCTCTAAATGCAGATAGTCTTTGGAGGAATTGTCTTTATCTTTTGTAGAAAAATCACTAAATTAAAAAAACTGCCACGTTAAATTGTAGATTAAAGGGAAACTTAAAGTCCGAAGGAACGAAAGCAGTCATGTTTAGAGCTTTTGTTCTTAAAATTTTTTCTTTTGCTGCCGAAGCACCACACTTCGAGTTCATGTATTCATATTTTAGGTGAAATGATTTGCCTAATTAAATCTGTCATTCATCACCACCTGTTCTCTCTAAAATATGTGGCTATATTATTAAGCTTGCCAGTGAACATATAAATTAATTCATTGGGGAATTACAGTGTTGACTAGGACGTTATTAGGTTTTATCCAATTTATCTGGTATGAAAACTGATATTTTCCCCAGTAAAGCAAAACAGCAGCTCATTAAGTTTCTTCATTTAATCCCTCACTGAGCCCCAGTTATGTTGAAGGTATTATGCTAGGCATGGGGGCAGGGCACTTACTATACAGCCCCTGCCCTCTGGGGGCTCCCAGAAAAATAAGCAGGTGAGGGGGGTGCCATGGTCTAAGATCAAGGTGAGTCTTGGGAGGCTTTCTAGAAGTGTAACCCTAGAGAGTTAGAATCCAGTCAGGGGAAGAGGTTGGTGAGAACTGAGGTTGGACGGGCAGCCAGATCTGGAAGAGCCTCCTACGTTGTGTTGAAAAGCTTGGGTTTCTTCCTCAATCCGTGTTCTGTGGTCTATGCCACTCTTTTTTTAGAGTAGGGATCTCTCTGTTGCCCAGGCTGGAGTGCCAGGGCTAGTCACAGGCAGGTATGATCATTCTTGTAGCTCACTGCCCCCTCAAACTCTGGGTGTCAAGCAATCCTCCCACCCCAGCCTCCTGCATAACTGGAGCTATAGATGTAGGCCTCTGTGCCTGGCGGATCTGTGGCAGGAGGTCTGTTATAGGATTTTATGTTGGCAGAGATCCCCATATCCTGATTTAGCCAGTGGAGACCCAGGATGTTGGGGTAAAAGTGACTCAACAATTCATCTGATCCTTCCCTCTTCTGAGCCGGTGGCAAAACTAAGCCTGAAACTGCCTCTCCAGCCTGGGCCCCTTCCCACACCAGGCAAGTGTCCTTCCCTCCCTGCAGGTATTTATTCAGCCTTTCTGAGAGGCCTGCCTGCCCCGCTGCTCTCTTCATGGCACTTGTCACCAGCTGGTTGATATGCTGACTGATTTATGGCCTATATCTCCTCTCTGGGACCCTGAGCTCCACAGGTGGGGATTTTTTTTTTTTTTTCTTTGGAGACAGAGTTTCACTGTGTCACCCTTGGTAGAGTGCCATGGCGTCACAGCTTATAGCAACCTCAAACTCTTGGGCTAAATGATTCTCTTGCCTCAGCCTCCCAAGTAGCTGGGACTACAGGCGCCCACCACAACAGTGAGCTACTTGTAGAGACGAGGTCTCACTCTGGCTCTGGCTGGTCTCGAGCCTGTGAGCTCAGGCAATCCACCCATCTCAGCCGCCCAGAGTGCTAGGATTATAGGTGTGAGCCACCAAGCCTGGCCTTAGGCAAGGATTTTTGTCTATTATGCTCATCACTGTCTCCCCAGCCTTGAATAGTGCCTGGCCTATTGAATGAATGGTTAGGAATGTTACAGGTGGATGGACTGCCTGCCCAACCTCACCATAGGGTGGGCAAGCAAGGCGTGTGCTCTGCACAGCCATAGAGCTGACGAGTCTCCTATCTGTGGCCCTCCATTAGCAGAAGCCTCCTCTCCTACTGCTTTCTGTGCTTGATGGAGAAGGTGTCTCAGAGGGACAGAAGTGCCACACAGTTCCTGATGGAGGAGATGGCTCAATGGCTGAGACATAAAACAGATTCATCCACGTTCTTCAGTCCCAGCAGATGGTACATTGCTCCCATCAGGGCTGGGGTTTCCCGTAAACACAGAGGTTGGTGGTAGTGTGTCTGGTGGGGACCATCTCACCAGGGTTGGAGGATGGCTCACCGCATTCATGCTTGCTGGTCTGAAGAGAGGTTCCTGCCATTGTGTGGCTCAGCCGAGGATGTGTGCTCGTGGCCTGCAGCTGTGCTCAGGCTTGATCTGCAGGCCCTGGCCGGGTTTACTCGCACTCCGGTGTGCTCAGTCCTTGGGTGTATCCTCTCACCTGTTGTGCACAACATCCTGGTGAAGTAGGAAATGGAGACTCAGAGAGGTGGAGTAACTTAGCCAAGCCACACAGCATGGCAGCACAGGCTTAGCAGAGTTTGGGAGCTCACATGACATGCCTAGTGCCTTGTCTGCATTAAGCAGAAGTGATGATAATAATAAAAGTAAATATGTATAATAACACTGAGCACAAACTACATGCCTGGCACTCTGCTAAGATCCGGACGCGCACCACCTGGTTGAATCCGCATGCGGTGGGTGCTGTCGTTATCCATATTTTTCAGAGGTAACTGATGCTCAGAGAGGTAACTTGCAAGGTGGAACACCTGGTCTCCAGAAACCCTCTGCCAACTCCAATTTCACTTCATTATTTTCTGTTCTTTGCAGGGTGTCTCCAGGGTCCTGCCTCAAGGGGCACCCTCCCCAAGTCTGTGGGGTTGAACGGTGCTCCTACGGCCCAGGGAGAGAGGAAGCGTGTGGGAAGGCCTGTCCTGTACTGTGTGCTTCTCCAGCCTCACCAGAGGGCCGGAGTCCAGAACAGGACAGGTGGTGGCAGGGCCAGAGCAGGGGTCTGCATGAAGAGGGACAGACTGAGGGATGTGCATGGTCCCCAGGTGCAGCTCGGGGGGCGGGGGGTTATCCCAGGAGAGGGGCAGGTGTGGCTGGTATGGGCTCAGGTAGGGTGGAGCAACTGTCTCTTCTGAAAACTGTGCAGAGGACAGAATGCCTCCCGGGAGTGCCATGCTGCACTTGTTGGAGGTTGCGAGTGATTCTTGTGCAGGGAGATGAGGGAGCATAGTGGCCTCTGCAAAGCCAGCCAGCCCCTCAAATGCACCATCTGGCTTTGACAGCACTTTAATGTGTTGTGTTAGGAAGCCAAAATCTTTTGAGCCATGTTCTTTCATCGCCTGAAACTGTTCTGTTTACAGATTTTGAAGTACCAACCAGAACAGTTGAATGTTACCCCTGCTGGGCACCTCCAGTGACTCCCAGAGCTGAGCCCCGGGTAACTGAACACTTTCTCTCTCTCCCCACAGCCCAGTTTAATGGCAACGAAAAGCGGCAGTCATCCCCCTCGCCTTCACGGGACCGGCGGCGCCAGCTTCGTGCTCCTGGTGGGGGCTTCAAGCCCATAAAACATGGGAGCCCCGAGTTCTGTGGTATCCTGGGAGAAAGAGTGGATCCTGCCGTCCCCCTGGAGAAGCAAATGTAAGTTCTAAGGAAGCAGAACCCAACCTGAACTCCCAAGTCACCTAGTCATTTCTTTGCATCTTTTAAAAATTTACACTGAAGGCCTGGCACAGTGGCTCACGCCTGTAATCCTAACACTCTGGGAGGCCAAGGCAAGTGGATTACCTGAGCTCATGAGTTCAAGACCAGCCTGAGCCAGAACAAGACTTTGTCTCTAAAATATACTGGGTGTTATGACAGGCACCTGTAATCTCAGCTACTGGG